GCCAGGGTAGGGGCTGGTTTGGGCTTACTGACCTAAGTGCCAATCCCTCCACAGCTCTCGCCTCAAGTCCTGGCTGGGCTCCACGAGGTTGCCCGATGCGTGGATGCAGGAAGCTTTGAGCAGGGCCTCGTAGTGCATGCCCAGGTGGTGGGCTGCAGCCGCTTCAGCGAGGTCTCCAGCTTCATGCCTGTCCTGAAGTCTGTCCTCACCATTGCTCATAAGCTGCACGTCTAAGTCAGGCAGCCTCTCTTACCAGGAGGCCACTTCTGCTGTTACTTAACTGTTCTCCCTGCAGAAAAGGGAATTGCAGAGCAGATTCTGTTTGTTTTTCCAGCCCCCTTTCTTACTGCCAGGTATACGATGCTGTAGGCTTGGCTCCAAACCGGCAGAGTGCCTGCTTTCTATCCCTGTGTGCCTGGCCTTCTAGGATCTGTCCAAAGCTTGCTCAGCCTCTGAGGCAGAGCATAGAGCCAGTTCTGTACTTCCCCTAATACTGATCTCAGGGGCAGGGCCTGGGGCAGGGTATCTTCTCTGATAAGGATATTCTGTTTAAGTGGCTTCTAAGATGGTAAGCAGGATCCATGTCTACCTCTGCTGTACCCATCTTTTGGGTCTTCTGTTTTTCTCCTTCTATGGGTTATGAGCCTGACCTTACCTTCTCCTTGCCTCTGACTTCATATTTCCAAGTACATACCTCTCTGAGCCCGAGAGGCTGAAATAGAGTTGATTGTTCATCCTTTGAACAAGTTGTGGATGTGAGGGATGGGTGCTGAACAGAACCAAGAAAGGAACTTTATCCCTTTTCAAAGGGAAATGTCATCTGTCAGCATCATTAGGAGTGGGTGAGGTTAAGTGGAAGGGGTGCACTGCTTTTTGCTGGGAGCTGTCTTAGCCTTGAGATAGGAGCAGAGGGACCACTGCCCATGGAAAACGGCCCCTGACTTGACCTGTCTGAGCCCTGGTCCAAGGCCCTAGACCATTCATTCTGTGAGTATGAGCCCAGTTCTGGAATAGGAGCCATGTTAACCAAAGTCTCTCTTTTAGCACTGCTCCTCAAGGGCTGGAGGCCCTTCTCTCCTCAGCCCCCACATCTCAGGGCCGCCTTCTCAGGCTGCACTCCCATGGTTGGATGTTGCACTTGAAGCACTGATGTATTTAATATGCAATAAAGCTGCTTTGATTTGGTTTTCTCAATCATCTCCCAACAGTTGTTTCCTGGGTCCTGTTTTGCCCTCACCGCTATTCTTAGTCTTCTTTGTTCTTGTTTCCTGCAGACAGGGGGCTTGGGGGCAGATGCAGAGTCAAGAGACTTGAAGAAAGGAGGGTGTCACTGAAATACTCTCTCCTTGCAGCATCTGTGGCCACTCTGCTTTGTGTGCATGTGCGTGCGTGTGCGTGCGCGTGCATGTATCTCCATCCGTGCCTGACAGTCAGCTCCAGGGTTTTCCCTACACCACTTCAGGGCTGAGCTTAGCTGCACAAAGGGGCTGGGTGTGATGCCAGGGGGTACTGTCGCTAATCCTGTTGTAGATCCCCTCATGTCTGCGGGCTAGATGTGTGTGTTTGGGAGGAAGGGATTGTTAGGCAGTATTTGTTTGTAAAGGCACTTGCTCTTCAGATAATACTTGCACTAACTTCTATTGAAGCAGTGTGAGCCCCAGCAAAGTTCTTTCCCAAAGTGTCTTTGAAGCCAAGAGCCCATTGAAGGGAAGAAAGGCCCGGAGAGGGGATTAGTTTGTTCAGCAGCTGTGAATTTCAGTGGGAGGTTGATGAACTCGGGAGTCTTTGTTTAAATTAAAGGGGGGGAGAAAAAAGCCTCCGTTGGAGCGAGAGCCCCACTTGGGGCCCTGAACTAACACAAGGAGAAGTCTGAGCTGCAGGGAGCTGTGTACTGACTGCGAAGACTTTTCCCAAACACTTTTGGAAAAGGTGTTGTGAGAAGAGAAGGGGGCGGAGTGTGGGATTAGCATGTGAAATGAAGTTTTCATTGACTCCAGTGGGGGTAGAAGGCTATTTTAATGGCATTTTGTTCTCTTATTTTCTCTTCTTGAGCTCTTTAGAGATATTGTTTTGCTAAGGCAGGCTTTCTTCCCCCTTCTTTCCAGTCTGCGGATTGCCTCTATGGGAGCCAACATAAATATTTCTCCTCCAGGAATGCGGGTTAATTAAAAGGAAATGAATGAGTGGAAGCATCCAATCCAGACCCACAATAGGCGAGTGCCCTGTCCTGCCCTCCCCTCCCACCACCACCAGCACCACCAGCGCTGAGCACGACCCTGTCTCTGTCTTTGCCCTAACCTGCTGCTAAGGCCAGTTGAGGCTGGGATTCTTTTCAAGAAAAGAAAGTCCTGCCTGTGTGTAGGCTTACAGGCCAGGGACAGGAAGGAGACTGTGTTTTGCAACCCCCCACCCCCAGTTCCTTGTCACTTCTCAGGACCTCCCTCTGCTTCTGCCCTACTAAAGAGCACACAAGAGGAGGGAAGGGGCCTGAGTTTCACTGTGCACCCCATGGTAACTTACTAGCTGGTGGACCAAACCAGACATCATTTCCAGCATCAGTTTAAATCTATAAAACAAAAGGTTTGACTAGCTGGCTTGAAGGTGTCTTCCCAAGCAGCCATTCGGGAGTTGTCCATGTTTGAAAAGGAGAGCACAGCCCTGGTAAGAGAGAACCTAAACTCCATGGGTGCAGGGAGGGCAGTGTGGTGTTCACCACTCTATTTCCACTCTGGTGTTTGTTGAATGAACGAATGAATAGGCAAGAAAGGGGGAGGGGAAGCAATACAAATCTAAGGTAACTCAGTAATGTTTTCTTTATAGAACTCACATGAATCTGGTGTCAGTCATACCCATGTGGGAACACAAAACAACCTGTGAAAGAACTTTCGGGCAGTATGACATTTCAAGTACTGACCTGGAGTTATCCAATATGAAGCACAAAAGTTCTGCTTTTATACTGAGAGACTCCCCTGGAGAATGCAGCTTCCCTTTACAACATTGTGCTTTTTAAATATTTTCTAGCTGCCTTGCCATATTTTCTTACTGTACACTATCAAAAAATTCTGCCAAGTGGGACAGCCAGGTTGGTATATGCTGCTGTTCACTGAGGGACAAAGAGCAAGTTGGGAGACTCAAGAGGCCCGATCAAAGCTGAGGGAAGAAGCAAAGGCCTTTTGCTGACAGAACTGGAAATGAAACACTAGGAAACCCTAAAGGGAAGTTGTCCCCTATATGGGAGGAAGGGGAACCTCTCTTCTCATAAGTGTTAGTGAACCAGAAGAGGTGCAGGAATAAGGCCAGGGCTTTGGGGTCTGACCTGGCCACTGTCTCAGTTCGGAATACGGGAGCCCTTGCACTCTCACAGGTTGGCCCCTGTTACTTACTTGGAGCCATACTCCCTCTGTGCTTTCTCCTGCTCTGGGAGACGCGGGATGAGGTTGTCTAGCATTTGACCAGTGCTCCTGAAGAGCAGACTCATCGACGGCCTAGGGAGAGAGAGAGGGCTGGGAAGCTCCTTGGGCTACATAGTGTCTGTCAGGGGTTGGCTCTTCCCTTCCCAGAGCCCTCTTTCATAAGCAAGTCCCTGCAGTACTGCTTCTCTTGGAGATGAGAACCAGGAGACTCAAGCACCGCAGCAAGCTCTAACTACTGAGGGAACGTATTAGTGGAAGATTTATGTGGCTTATTTATCAATCCTTGGCAGATTAGCCTCAGTCAGGCCAGAATAAGTAGGCCATCAGGGAAGTGAGGCTCTGGGGAGGACGGTATTCTGGCAAGGTGGGAGGGAGGGGAGGGCTACAACTTGTATCTTTCACCCACCTTCCCCTATGTCCCCAAGAGTAAGTTCAATACCTGGGGGTGGGGGAAAAGGGCACATATCACAGTGACTTCAATAAATTAAAAATCCACAGTACTGAACTTCCTATTTGTACTAGTTTACTTATTGAAGAAAAGTATCCAAGGCCCTGAATCCTGCCTGCTTGAGAACCAGATTAGTGAAGAGGAAGGGTCCCAGGTCTTCTTTTCTTATGACCTGCCCTTAGAGGTTCAAACCAGGGTCCAAATGGAAACTGGTTTTGTTGAGCTCAGTCTTGGCTCAGAGGAACAAGGATCCTTTGGGGAAGGAGAAGAGGTAAAGGTGGTTGCTAGGAAGAAATAGGTTAGAGGTAGGGAGAAGGTTACTTTAAAGGGTAGGAAATGACTGGTAATCTGACCTTACGTAATTACTAGACGTTGCCGGTATGTGTCTGGAGCACCTTGGGTGATTGTCAGGAAGGTCAGTGTCCCACTGGTAAAGTCCATTAGAGACAGTGTCACAAGAATGGGTAGCACCTTGGTTTTCAGCAAGGCAGCACTCTAGGGCTCCCACTTCCCCATCTTCAACCCTTGCCTCTAGGAACCAGCTCCCAAAGACATGATTTCCTGGGTCATTTTTCTCAGTCTGTCTTCAGGGAAAGAGGGTAAGGAAGAGGGGGAGAGAAAGCATTAGAGATTCCTGGGGAGAGCTGTTAGCAGGGAATCAGAAGCACAGGAGTGGCTCTGCAGAAGGAAGATGCAGCCGTGATAGAGACCTGGGCGCAGAAAAGGGGGGGCAGGGCGAGAAAATGGGCAAAAGAGAGAAGCCATGGCTTTTTCCCCAGGCGGGCCCTGTGTGTTTGAGAAGGGGCCTTCCCGTGCCTAGGCTCCAGCCTAGGTCCCGCACGAGGGCAACAGGAAGGGAGGAGAGCCGTCTATCTCACCCTGGTCCAAACAAGATCAATAGCTCAAAATCTCAGAGTTCTGACTTAAGAGTGGGCCCCAAGGACCATTCCGACAGCTCCAGGGGAGCGCAGCAGAATTTGGGAAACAGTTTGGAAAGTGACGAGCTCCGGACATTGCAGCGTCTCTCTCGGGATCCCTGGGCTTGCGAGTGTGGGATCCGCATTCCCTAGGTTCCTCTATTACTGGGGTCTCTAAAAGAAGCCAAGGACAAACGGGGAAAGGAGCGGGAGAGGAGACCCTTAGGATTTTCTGGCGGGTTTGTGCGCGGCGCCCCCCCGCGGCCGCTCCGCGCGGCTGCAGAAGTACTTGGTGACTCGCCGACGGCACTGCTCGCAGCGGACGGCGCAGCACCAGTGGAACTTGCAGTTGCAGCTGGACACGGTCTCGGCGCGGCGCTCCTCCACCGCCAGCCCGCAGTCCCCGCAGAGCCGGCGGCAGCTGCGCCGCTCCCAGCGGCCCAGGGACCGCCCGCGCCGCAGGCACTCTCGGCCTTCGGTGCCCAGCAGCCCTAGCGTTTTGTTCTCCAAGCAGTAGTCTGGGGAGTCCTCCAAGTGCACCAGCTCCCGCGTGGAGATGGAGCGAAAGGTGTCGGCGATGGCGCCGCGTCCCGCCGCGCTGTTGCCAGCGCCTTGCAGCAGGTCCACCTTGAGAGCGGCGTGGTACTTCTCCTTCAGGTGCGCGCCCACCTCGCGGAACTCAGGCAGCTGCAGCCAGCAGGTCTGCGTGGTGCAGCTGCCTGACACGCCGTGGCACTTACACGTGCGTTTCATGGTGCCCTTCACCGCCTGGGGAAAGAGCAGTGGGCGGGCCAGGGATTAAGCGTGTGGGGACTCTGCCTCTGGGCGGTTGTAAGGCGCCTTAGTATCTCGTTTTTCCAAACTGTTAAATGAAGAGTTGCTTCACTTAGGGGTTGTAGTGGATGGAGCCGGCTGCCTAACCCCAGGGGCTGCAGGACTCACCTTGCGGCCGGCCTCGTTGTTGTGCAAGTTCATGGCTGCCCGAGCATCCTGTCCTGTCTCCAGGGCATCGACGAACTGCTTGGATATTGCCTCTCCAAAGCCCACGTTGTCACTGCAGCCTCCCCACAGCCACCCTTGACCGCCTGGAAAAGAGCAGGTGGAGGAAAGGTCGCTGAGCAGGTGGGGCAGAGCCGCCTCGACAGCCGTCTCTAATTGGGCTTGGAGGGTCTGGGATGGGGAAAGATTAAGGTTGGGTGAGGGCCTGGTCTCCGGATTAGTTTCAGCCTAGATTTGTTTTTGCCAGTTTTGCGCATCCACTTCTAGCCGATCCTGTGCCCAGGACTCCGTGACGTAGTAGTTGCCTAGAAGATTCGCGGCGAGGCGTGCGCCCCCCTGCANGCAGCACCAGTGGAACTTGCAGTTGCAGCTGGACACGGTCTCGGCGCGGCGCTCCTCCACCGCCAGCCCGCAGTCCCCGCAGAGCCGGCGGCAGCTGCGCCGCTCCCAGCGGCCCAGGGACCGCCCGCGCCGCAGGCACTCTCGGCCTTCGGTGCCCAGCAGCCCTAGCGTTTTGTTCTCCAAGCAGTAGTCTGGGGAGTCCTCCAAGTGCACCAGCTCCCGCGTGGAGATGGAGCGAAAGGTGTCGGCGATGGCGCCGCGTCCCGCCGCGCTGTTGCCAGCGCCTTGCAGCAGGTCCACCTTGAGAGCGGCGTGGTACTTCTCCTTCAGGTGCGCGCCCACCTCGCGGAACTCAGGCAGCTGCAGCCAGCAGGTCTGCGTGGTGCAGCTGCCTGACACGCCGTGGCACTTACACGTGCGTTTCATGGTGCCCTTCACCGCCTGGGGAAAGAGCAGTGGGCGGGCCAGGGATTAAGCGTGTGGGGACTCTGCCTCTGGGCGGTTGTAAGGCGCCTTAGTATCTCGTTTTTCCAAACTGTTAAATGAAGAGTTGCTTCACTTAGGGGTTGTAGTGGATGGAGCCGGCTGCCTAACCCCAGGGGCTGCAGGACTCACCTTGCGGCCGGCCTCGTTGTTGTGCAAGTTCATGGCTGCCCGAGCATCCTGTCCTGTCTCCAGGGCATCGACGAACTGCTTGGATATTGCCTCTCCAAAGCCCACGTTGTCACTGCAGCCTCCCCACAGCCACCCTTGACCGCCTGGAAAAGAGCAGGTGGAGGAAAGGTCGCTGAGCAGGTGGGGCAGAGCCGCCTCGACAGCCGTCTCTAATTGGGCTTGGAGGGTCTGGGATGGGGAAAGATTAAGGTTGGGTGAGGGCCTGGTCTCCGGATTAGTTTCAGCCTAGATTTGTTTTTGCCAGTTTTGCGCATCCACTTCTAGCCGATCCTGTGCCCAGGACTCCGTGACGTAGTAGTTGCCTAGAAGATTCGCGGCGAGGCGTGCGCCCCCCTGCACAGTTTCCAGGCGTTTGGGCAGAGAGTGTGCAGGTGCCCCGCCAGCGGCTGACCCCGGGAAGGACACAGTGGAACGAAAAAGGTTGAGGAAAGCGCAAGCACTGAGGGGCAGAGCGAGGAGCAGTTGAAATCATAGGGAACAGCTCAGTTGGCAGTTGAGCCGGGGGACAGAGGATTAGAGAGGGCAGAGGAGGTCAAGAGTGGGAAGGAGACGGAGGCAGGCAGTGTGGAAGGATGTCCCCGCTATGTTTAGTGAGTGATGGCATTGACTCCTTGGGGAGTGTTGTCCCTTCCTCAGTATTGTGTTTAAATTAAGGAAACTACTCAGTAGGTGAAGGAGGCCCCGGCTACATTTAACCTGGTTTGACACACAGGGTTTAGGCTTAAACTGGTTCACCTGATTTCCCTTAAGATTTAGAAGAATGCCGCTCCTTGTCGCACCACCCAGCTACCCACCAATCTTCAGTCTTCACTTGAACTTTCCTGGCCTGCCCTACCCACCCCCAATATCACTACTCACCCAGTTGCCCGTTTCGGGAGTCATCACAGCCACAGTTGTCAAAATCCCCAAGGCTGCAGTTCCTAGTGAGAGTGTACATGACCCCAGCAGAACTGATGGCATGAACAAATGCTGTCTCCCGATTAGCTGGCAGGAACCAAAGAGTGGGAGAGTTAGAGGGAGGAGCTGCAACCCAGCCTCCCTCTGAGGGAGGTCCTGCCTCCCTTGAATCATTCTCTCCTTTCCCAGCTCCATCCTATCTCCCCACCTTTATAATGCACCTTACTCTCTTCCAGGGTCTACTCCAGCCCTGGTCTCAGCCCTACTCTTCTCCCCTCCCATCTTTTCAAGTCATGCACCTTATGATCAGGTGGCTAGATTTTTGTTGACATACGTGGTTGTAAAGGATTTAGGTGGGAAAGAGCTTGAGGAAGAAATGGAGGAGGAGATGGAACTGAAGGCCAGGCTATCAAGAACCCACCCACTTCCTCCTGGAACATCAAAGTCTAAGAGGCATGCACCACCTCGTTCTGAAAGAACCTCTGACTGCCAGCTTTGTTATTTACTGGCATGGCCACCCTGTCTTCTCCATGGGGATCTGGTCTCCAAGTCTGCTCCCACTTGCCTTGTACCTCTCTGCTGAGCCCGCTGAAGGAAGGGGCTAAGAGGAAAGAGGATTACGACCCTACCTACCTCTTGATGTTATTTATATTGTGAGGAAGCCTTTAGCTAACAGACAAGGTCCGTCTGTTGAGCAGTGAGTGTGTTGGGGAGGAATGACAAAAGCTCTGTAGGTAGGAAAAAGGAGCTGGAGATGGAACAGAGAAGAACCCAGAGAGGGAGATGACCTGAGAGTAAAGACCAGGTGAGGAATTAGGGCACAGAGGAGGCAAGGGCCGTCCCTGGAGAGTGGGGCTCTAACCTGTGGCCAGGGGGTCCAGGGAGCTGTGGCCAAGGCTTTCCTTACCACTGCGAAGGCCACCGTGGCTGGACAGCTGCAGGGCTCTCTCGGGGCAGTTCCAGCGGTCCCAGGCAAACTGGTATTTACATTCTTCAATGCCGCTCTGGGCGCCCGCAGCCACGCTGCTGGAGTAGATCAGGTAAGCCTGCAGGGTCACAGGGGCCAGCGCTCAGGCTCTCCCATCCCTCCAGAACAACGACAGAGTGAGCACTTCACACATGCAGTCTCATTTAACTCCACAAATAGCCGTGTGAAACAGGAATCACTTTATAGATTAGGAACCGGAGGCTCAGAGAGGTGAAGTGAAGCACCTTGCCTAAGATCCCACAGCTGGCAAATACTAGCAGTTGGAATGGAGTTCAGTTTTATCAGACACTAGGCTAGCTATTCATTATACTATTCTGCCTCTCCAAAGTGATCCCCAAGGACATAAATCACGAATTTTCAGATGTTCTCTTCCCATTACTATCTTAGAAAATAACGTTTTGAAACTGAAAATGTCCTCAGAAATAATGCAGTACAATGCCAGCATTGTGAAGATGGAAGACGGCACCCGTCCCACCACTACGCGAGGAAGGTTGTGACTGCAACCTGACACCCTGAAAGGCTGTCAACTTTTCTGGCTTTGGAAATTCTGGCTCTAAACTCACAATCAATACTCCTGAGTCCTTGTCTTGGCTCTAACACTAGTTTGCTTTGGGGTGTGTCACTAACCCCCTCTGTGCCACAGCTTTTCTGTCTGTAACAGATTCAGCATAATAAAAGATGTGGATATAATGAAAAGAAATTGGCACATACAGTTTTCAGTCAAGAAGCTAAGATTAGTAAAACCCAAACAAATCAAAGGAATTTTTTTCTTACCTTTGGACCAGTCATCAGAAAATTGTTCACTGACCTAGAAGAAAGAAAAACCACTGATCATAATGGAGAGGCACCAACTCATTTCTGCTGCCGAGAGCTAGAAGGGTTACTTCAGGAAATAAGATTTATAGGAAGAAAGGGAAAAAGGTTTTGCTAAGGAAAAATTATGCATAAGGAATCTACTAAAGACAACTTATTTAACAAAAAGAGGATATGTACAAAAGGAGCTAGTATTGTGCTTTCTTTAGATTTTTAAAATTTCAGATACCAAAAATGTTGGGAGTAATGTTTGATCACTGCTTTGCCATGGGTGAGAAGAGAAATAGCATTAACTCATTACTGTGCACCAGATGCTCTACTCTCACTACTTTACATGTTGATTTTGTTAAAGCCTTACTATCACGGGCATTATTATCTCTATTTTTCAAATAGGGAATCTCAGACTCAAAAAAGTATTTAAGATCACCCAGCTTATAAGTGATTGAATCAGGATTTGAATCCAGGTCTGTCTGACTCCACTGGACTCTGAGAAGGATAGTTCTCTAAGTGGAAAAATGTAAACAGTGGAATGTCTTCCTAGGGATTGAAATAAATTACAAAAACAAATAATTTGACTCTGGAAAATAGTTTGGCTGTTCCTTTCAAAACTAAAAATGGACTTGTCATAGGATTTAGCAGGTCCATTCTTGGGCATTTATCCCTGAGAAATGAAAACTTATTTTTACTTAGGATCCTGTAATTGGATGCTCATAGCAACTTTATTTATAATAACCAAAAATTTGAAACTGTCTAAATGTCTTTCAAAGGGTGAGTGGTTAAAATAACTGTGGTACATCTATACCATGGAATACTACTCAGCAATGAAAAGGAATGAACAACCGATACGTACAACAACTTGAATGAATCTCAAGGAGATTATACTGAGTGATCAAAGCCATTCTCAAAAGGATACATACTGTAGTGCATGATTTCACTTATGTAACAATTGTGAAATACATAATTATAGAGCTGGAGAATAGCTTAGTGGTTTCCAGGGGTTAGGGGTGAGGGATGGGTGTGCTATAAAGGGGTAATGCCAGAGAGTCTTGTGATGGTAGAATTAAGTGTCTTGATTGTGGTGTGATTATGCAAAGCTATATGTGTGGCAAAATTTTATATAAAATTGGTGGTCTGAATGAACTTTATAAATATTATACTACAGTTGTAAGATGTTACGACTGGCTTGTGTGGGACTTCCCTGCACATGTCTTTGCAACCTTCTGCCAGTCTATAATTATATAAAAATAAAAAATTCAGTGTATACATACATAACCTGGAGTGCCTGAGATTTGGCAAATGGACTTCAGGATTTGCATTTGAAAATTAACCCAAATATATTACCTGTTATCTTTCTTTTCCCATTATAATGGAAGAAAGTAACATGGGAATCATTACGTATTGTTCCATGAAAGTTGGTCTACCCTGCAATTGTAAAGGCCAATAAGATGTTGGCCATCATCAGAAAACAGATTGGAAACTAAAGAGACTGAAAAAGTTCAGTCTCCTGTCAGAGGCCAAAAGAGCTTGGCTGACTCTCTTCATACAAATCACACACACCTAAAATGTGGATAGTTTTTGAAAAACAGTATTATAAACTGGGAGGCTTCCATGTGAGAGAAGATGAAGAAGATTTGGAAAGAAATGTAATAGAATTTTAGAAAATCATAAAAGACTATGTAGTCTAGCAAAACTTTAAAGCTTGGCAGGCAAAATCAAGTTGACTGAAAAGTACTCCTGTCTTGGGGGTGGTAGTGCCGGCAAAGAATAAATGTAAATTCAAAACAATTTAAATGAATTCACAATTGCTAAAACCATTATGGGTTTGCAGATAAATTTCTGATCCTGAAAGACTTATTGCAATGATCATTTCACAATATATGCACATACTGAATCATTGTATTGTATTCCTGAAACTAATATTATCTGCCAATTGTTCTCAGAAAGAAAAAAAGACTGTGTTTCCTTGTGGTGAGCACCAAAGGAGGAGGACCTTGTTTTTGATTAATGTGACAATGGCAAGATTTCCTTTTGGGGGGTAAAATATAATATGGATCACAGGAAATACAGTGAGTGTGTGATATCAGGAGGTAGAAAGAGAGCCAGAGAAGAAGGAATTGAAGTGTTTTATGGATACTAGCTATGGACAGTTGTATAACTGAAGGAAAGGTGCTAACAAATAATAGAAGATAGAATTTTGTGTAGCAGATGGAGGCCGATCTCTACACGATGGGTCAAACAGCAACTCCTGGACAGAGGTGCAGGCTCCCCATTCCCCGTATGTACAGTCGCTGATGGTACCACCCACACTGGGCGTCACTCGAATGGCTTATGTCTTCCTGAGCCCTCCCAACTATTCTCAGACCTTTTCTTGAACTCCAGGTTTGCATATCCAAATATATTCTTGACATCTCCATTTCAGTGTTTAATAGGCATCTCAAGCTTAATACATGCAAAACTGAACTCCTGAACTTCACGGCCACCATCCCAAGCCTGCTCCTTCTGTAGTCTACCCCATCTAAGTAAAGGACAGTCCCTCCTCATTGCCAGACAAAAATCTTAGACTCACCTTTGACTCCTTTCTTTCTCTCACACCATGTATTCAACCTGCCCTCAAACCCTGCCAGCTGCGGCTCAGAATATACCCAGACCCTAACCAGTTCTCAGCACTTTCGCTGCCACCACCCTGGTCCAAGCTGTCACTCTCTTGCCTCGATTATTGTTAAAGTCTCCAACTGATCTTGCATCCACCTGTATTCTCCCATATTCTATTCTCAAAATGACCGGTCCCTTTAAAGACGGATCCCTTTAAAATATAAATCAAAAATTTCCATTCTCTGCTCAAAATCTTCTAGTAGTTTCCTATCTCACATAGAGGGGAAGCCAAATTCTTATGGTGGGCCATAAGATCCTATGCAGTGTGGCCCCCAGCTCCGCCTCTGGCCTAATCCCGCTGCTCTCCCCTTGCTGACTGCTGCAGCCATGAGGTCTCCCGCTCCTCAGACACGCGGGGCACTGTCCAGCCTCCGGGCCATCGCACCTGCTGCCCTCTGCCTGGAGTGCTTTCTACTCAGACACCTGCATAGCCTGTTCCCTCACTTGCTTCAGGCCTTTTAATCAAATGCGTCATCCTCCTCGAACGGTCCCCCACCTCTTTTCTCTGCTTCATTCTTTTTCTCATGGCACTTTCAGAATCTGTACACCATGTTTTACAACTTTATAGTTTTACCTTTACCTCCTCCCACTAAACTGTAAACTTCATTAAGGCAGATTGGAGGGGGTGGGGAGACTGTTTTGTTCACCAAGTCTTACCAGTGCCTTGAACAGCGCCTAGGGATAATAAGGATTTAATAAATTTACGCTGAATGAAAGAATGAAGGAACTCACACTTAGGGGTGGGAGCGGGAGGAAGGGCCACCTGAAGAAACTCAGAAGGACAACTATCCAGAGAGAGAGGGGAATAGGAGAGAATCCCTTATCTATGCCCACAGGCTCAACTACCATGGTTATGCAATGTCTCCCAAATCTTCACCCCCATCCCTGACTGTCATCTTGAGATCCAGAGCTGCATTTCCAACTGAATGCTGCACTTCTCTACTGGGCATGTTTCAAAATCGTGAAGGCAATATGTCTAACAGTCAACTTATCTTCCTTTGCCATTTCTCCTGACTTGACCATGTTTTGTTAATAGAGCCACTGTTTCTCCACATTTTCCCCAGTCCATTCTCACCATCTAATCAGTTAGTGAGACCTATGTGTATTTTACCTCTATCATAGTTTTCACTTGCCAATTCCCTCCTTCCTCTTTCACTCCCTCAGGGACTCTCACTGTCACATCTTGTTTGTGGCCTCCAACTTAGACCATTGTAGAAGTCCCACTAACTGACCTCTCTAGTTAAAGTTTTCACCCCATTCCAATCCAATGTCTATTCAGTCTGCAACTAGATCAGTCTTCTGAAAGGCTGATCCTGATATCATCCTGCTCAAGAGTCTTTCTTAGTTCTCCAACTCAAGGCACTCTGACCATACATACCTTTCCAGCCTCATTTCCCATGGAATAGCCCTACTTGTCCAATCCTCTAGTCAAGCTGAATCAGCTGCTATTCCTGGACACCATACATTCATACCCCTATACCTGCACTCATGCTATTCTTTTACATCTTGCCTACTCTTAGTATTTGCAACCAGTGGTGCTGGAACAGCTGGATATCCACATGCAAAAGAATGAAGTTGGGCCCATACCTCACACCATATACAAAAATTAACTCAAAATAGATCATAGACCTAAATGTAGGAGCGAAAACTATAAGACTCTTAGAAGAAAATGCAGTTATTAAGTTTTTATGAACTGGGGTCACGCAGTGTTTCTTGTAAATATGATGCCAAAAACACAAGTTTCCAAAGAAAACACTGAGAAACTGGACTTCATCAAAATTAAAAACTTTTGTGCTTCAAAAGGCACCAAAAAAGCCCTAGCCGTTTTGGCTCAGTGGTTAGAGAGTTGGCCCCTGGACTGAAGGGTCGCAGGTTCGATTCTGGCCAAGGGCACGTACCTCGGTTGCAGCCTCGATCCCTGGCCCTGGTCGGGGTGCATGCAGGAGGTGACCAATTAGTGTGCCTCTCTCACATCGATGTTTCTCTCTCTCTCTCAGTCTCTCTCCCTCCCACTCCCTGTGAAAAGCAATGGAAAAAATATCCTCGGGTGAGGATTTTTTAAAAAAGGCACCAAAAAAGAAAGTACAAAGACAATCCACAGAATGGAATTATTTGCAAGTCGTATATCTGGTTAGACACTTACACTCAGAATATATAAAGAGCACTTATAGCCCAGATTCTGCATATGAATGTCCAGCATTCGGTGTTTTCTTTGAATAATAGGCTTGGTTTCTCTCTACCCTTTAATCTCATTTCTTGAGGTCCATAAACAGTCTCTGGGTTTATGAAGCTCTAGTTGGCCTACTTCAGGAGAGACGGTGTAATTACTGTAATTGGGGTGGT